TGATTAGGAGATTGGGGATTGGGTGACTGGAGCTAACAAATACAGGGCATTTTCACTAGTTCCATGAGGCCATGAAGGAGCGTCTGTCTAGAAAGTCTCCTTGATTCAGTGCCCAAGCCCACTGTGAGACACACCTGGTGGGGCCCTATATAATTCGGAGCTCTGCCACTAGGCCTTGGGTTACATTTCTGTAACATGTAGGAGGTGACCATGACTTCCAAGATGCCTGCCAACTCTTAAAGAAACGTTGAAGACACTAGATACCTCTATTAAAGAACTGACTACTTCCATGCAGGACCCTTCTGTGGGCTGTCACTTGGTTAGAGATGCTGAAAAGTCTCACCCAATGATGGTTTTCAAATTCTGAGTCTAAATTTGCTTGTCTTCTATTTAGTCTGGTGATTTATGTGGAAACACTGATTTTTCCTAAGTTCCTTTTTGTTATTTTTTTTTAACTTGAAGCACAACTGCATCTGTAAAGTAGCTTGTGGTTTCAGCACAAAAGGGACCACATTGGTGGTGGTGGTGGTGTTAGGTGCTGTCAATTCCGACTCCTAGTAACTCCATGTGACAGAGTAGAACTGCTCCATAAGGTTTTCTAAGTTGGCATAGTGCCTAAGACATTTGACCCCTGACCAGGTTGGTGGTTCAAAACCACCAGCCACTCCACGGAAGAAAAACCAGGCAATCTACTTGCGGAAAGATTTACTGCCTTGGAAACCCAAATGGGTTGCTATGAGTCAAATTTGACTTGATGGCAGTGAGTTTGGTTTTTGGTTTTAATCATTACGGAAGCAGATCACCAGGTCTTTCTCACACAGAGCTTTTGAGTGGGTTGGAACCACCTACCTTTCAGTCAGCTGCCTACTGCTTAACTGTTGTGCCACAAGGGCTCCTTCAGACCATATCAGAAGCATGTCGGTTGGTGGTGACTGCATGCTGATAAATTAAAATTAAATTCAATCAAGGCTAATTCTAGACAAAGTTGAATCACTCTTTGATATTTTCGCCTCTTTCTTCAACTCTTCCTTTGCTCTTTGCAGCCCCTCTCTCAAGTCCTCACCACCATCTCTTCCAAAAACTTTACTCATGACTGTGGAAAAAAAAATTAAACTTGTGCACCCTAGTAGATGACATTATTCCTCTGTGGCAGAGGCTGTAGTGCTTACCAACTACTCCAAGTGTTCTACATTTCCCCAGCCTCCTATGCACTTAGACTGGAGCCATATGGCTAGTTCTGAACAACAGACTGTGAATGGAAGTAATGTGTCACTCTGGTCTAAGGCAGCTAGGAACACTTATGAATACTTCATACTCTCTTTATCATCGCTGTGACCTGAAGCACAAAACAGATGGTAGAACTGCAAGTTGCCTGAGACACTGCTTAAAGAAAGCCACTAGGAGAGCTAGCTGCCTGATTGGCATTACACTGTGACAGGAATGAAAAACTAAAACTAAGTTATTGGGATTTCAGAGTTTGCTCCTTCAGCCTACTCCAGCCTAACTAATATATCCTTCTGGGGGGTTTTCATTTTTAAAGATCCTAGGGAAAATGCAAAACACAATGGAAGTAACCTCTCATAATGGAATTATGGGCATCTTTAGAGAAACAGGTTTGGGGTCAAGGGGCCTAGTTACTATTGAAATCAAGGCCAATAAGCAATACTGTATACCTTGTAACAGCCTGTGCTGCATGAAGATTTTGAAAGTACTCCAAAGAAGGAAATTTTAAGACAACTTTCCAGGTGATGTCTAGAAATCAATACCTGTTTCTAGACAGAAGGAAAACAAGGGAACCCATTTTCTAGAATGATCTTGAAAAAAGTCACCTAGTGCCAAAAATAAAAATCTTACTTTTCTTGCTCTACTCTGTATTATCAGTTTCCTGTTATTAATGTATGTATTTGGCTCTTTCCAAAATCCCACAAGGCCCTAGGAAATTTGATAATTTGGGTCCACCAGGAATCCATTGGGAGCTCTGGTAGCATAGTGGCTAAGGCACTTGACTGCTAACCAGAAGGCTGGCGGTTCAAACCCACCAGCCACTCCTCGGAAGGAAGGTTGGGCAATCCTACTTCCGTAGTGATACTGCCTCGGAAACCCAAGGAGGGGTCGCTATGAGTCAGGGCTGACTCGACAGCACATAACAACAACAACAACAGGAATCCATTAAACAATAATCCTAAGAACTTTCTGGAAACAATATGATAACTGACATAAGTTCTACCTATAAAGTTACAAAATAACTATTTCATCACTTCTGTAAAAATGGAGCATACTCTTCCACCCAGCCCCACATTCCCTGTTTGGCTCCAGCTTTCCCTCTATGATGCTCTGTGTGTCTATGGAGTGAAGCCAGCCTGAGTCTGAATGTCTTTTGGGAAGAGTCTTCTCTCCTCCCTCCACAGAAATCACCCGGCTTCCAGAGCCCCACAGAAGATTCAAGAATGATGCAAACAGGAGCATTCACAGAATGGGAGAAAGGCTGTCAGAAAGAAGGCATAGTAAAGTGTCCCACTCCTAAGAACAGCAATCTAAAAAGGCCTCCTATCTGATTGCAGTTCCTAGGAACATCATTCTTTCCCCCAAATGCTCAAGACAATCGCCACTGGAGTGGCTCCTGTCCTGGCCCAGGCCTTCCTCTGCTCCCTCCAATCAATGCAGAGTGGCTTCTGAAGAGCTTATCAACACATCTGCAACCCAGAACCCATCTAATTAATAGTCCAGATACAATCCCTTTGGGTCTGGCAGCAAATGCCAACCAAGCCCCAAACCAGTTTATTAATTTAACCAAAAAGTAAACAGATGATGGAGATGCAGAAAAGACGAGCATGCGAGCAGCTGAAAAGCATTACCCGGCTGTCCACCAGGAAAAAATTTAAGACATTTAAAGTGGATGGAAACAAATTTAAGACATTTAAAGTGGCATTAAATAAATGAAGCTATTTTGATCTACTTGGAATTTCCATTGTCTTTAAAAAAAGGAATATATATATATGTATGTATATTTTTACACTGCAGTATATAAATCTAGATATACAGTATAAATACACAGGGTGTGCACATGGGCACAACATGTATGTCTTGGTAAGCACACCCTGAACCAGGCAGACAGTTCTAGAACTCCTTTTTGACCTTCAAACCAAAAATTCAGGCTGAGGCTCCACTGACCTCTCCCAGAGATGTCTGCCACCCAGGCCCTCTCTCCTCCAAGCACAGAAGCACAGAGGAGGAGCCTCACAAACAGAACAAAGTGCTTTCCGACCAGGTGAAGCCCCGTAGTCTCTGTGATACACAGTCCGGGCTCCTAGAAAGACCTGAAGGAAACTGAGGCCTTTCTGGCTCACTCTTTGGTCCTTTGACACAAATCCCTACACTTTCCCTGGTGTTTCTTACAGATTTCATATGGCTATTTATGTAACACGAATCCCACACAATTCTTGGGACTATATTACAGTTATAAAAATAAGGGAAAGCTCCATGTTATAATCTGCACTTCATAATCTGGGTTTGTTGTCTTTATTTTGGGGATAATAACTGGCATTTTGAGAATTTCTTTCTTAAAAAGGACAATATTCTGAAAGTGCTTCTTACACATGCTGATGTCCCACATATGGCTTTTCAGTTCAAACCCCAGCACAGCTCAGATCTGGAAGGGAGAACATAATGATGCTACCATAGACAAAAGTGTCACTGAACAGAGACACTGTGCTAGCAAGAGTGTGGACCTGCAAATAAAAAGGGGGGGGGTTTAATTCCATCTGGGAGAAGGTACCTCTTTAAGAAATCATTTAGATAATGTATGCAGCTCCCTGCCCCCTTCCCCCATGACTAGGCACAGTAATGCTATAAAAGTTAATAAGTAAAACAGGACACTGCTATCAGTAGGGAGAATGTTCAGAGGGGCTATTAACACGGCAATCGCTGTTCGGAAATCTTTCACAGGGCTCAAAATAACCAAATACAGTCAGTCAAAGTAGAAATTTCTACACCTGAGGAACAAATTGCACATAATAAAGAGGTGCTATGATCCAGATGGCAAAAGACTCCAGACATCCTGTTTTACATGCAGAAGGCATTCAGAAAAGGCAATGAAGCAGTGGCATTCCACGACAAATGAGACTCCAAGGGTGTTGTATTCTGGCTGATTGATATGTTACCAGAGAACATGGCTATGTGTGCAGTAATGACTGATATATTTTTAAAGGGAGGAAACAGAAATGTGTTGTGGTTGTCGGAACTCAGAATGGGCTTGTGTTGACTGCAGAGGAGTGCTGCCAGGCCAGTGGATCTGCATGGGCCTCTGAAGCTCCTCCTTGCCTCCCTGGGGTAGAACGTGACAGACGTGGGCAGAGGTTGAAGGCCGCTGGCTCATCCAGACCCTTTCCAAAGTGGTCCTTCATTCAGCCCGTGGCAGGTCCAGCCTCTGCTGATGTTCTTTTCTGGTGGCACTTGATTAATAAAGTATTCCTCTCCCTTTACAAAAATAAAGTTTGGAGTTCTTGTAATACTGGCACAAAGGACACTCTGTATTCCTAGGATTGAGTCCATTTACTTAGAAGGTATGAGACTAAGTTCTCAGTTCCTTCTATTTCCCTGTAAAAGTGACCTAAGCTTCCCAGGCCATTGTGCAAATTTGTTTTTCCATAGTTTAGGATATCACATAAAGTCCCTCATATATATACACACACACATATCTAACATATGTGTATGTGTGTGTATGTACATATACATATACATATATATATATTTATAAATGTGGATAATTTTGCATTCCAGTCTCAAATAGGTCAAAGGGAATCAGTGAATCTCTTCATGTCAAATTCATCTTCTGTTTCCCCACAATGCCTATCATAGTGTCTCATACACAGTAGGTACTCAATAAATACTTGCTGACTTCACCAATGATCCTCTAACACTGGATGGTAGTTATTATCACGACGTCCTGTTCTTAGCCCCACTCAGCCTTTGGCAAGCAAGAGAAAGTGGGCCCACCCCCTTCAAAGGGTGATTTTGCTGTGTCTGTTGCTCCAGCAGCCCCGTTTAGCTGTCCTGGGCAATGTCAAGCTTGTCCGGCTACGCAATTTCACTTGTTCCTCCATGGGGCTCTTTTTGCGTAAAATGAAGTCAAAGTTCACTTGGCTATTCATGGCATAAAAGACATTCGCAGAGTCTGGGATCACTAGCTCTGAAAAAGACAAGGAAAGAGAAGTTAGTCAGCCCAGAGTTGAGAGTGGCAGGTAGAAACATGGACCAGACACAAAGTGGGACAATGGTCCTTTGTCTCTGAAATTTGACTGAACCACAAATGACCATCTCTTCTGACCCCCTCCCAAAAATGGTCCTAATAACCTCTCAATCCCAACCAAAACAAAAATGTAATTAAGATTTTAAAAAATCAAATACAGAATATTATAGCTAGAAAAAAAAAAAAATATAGTAGGAAACAGGTCATGAAAAGTTCAATGGTAGCTCAGAATCACAGGCAGTAAACAGTCGAACAGACTCCATAAACACTTCTCACTCTACTATGCAGCCTTTCTCAGAGAATACAAATATGAAAAAAGTAGAATTAACCTACAGAGTTTTCCAGAATGCTTTCATTGGAATATCAAAATATTTTTGAAGTAATTCAAAATAAAACCAGTATTTTATATGAGTCCTTGCCTTGCTAAGACCTTACATTTTACTATTAAACAGTATCTGTACCAGACAATGTATATCTAGTAACATTTAAACTATTTTCTACTTCAGTGATTCCCAACTAGATATCTGCAATTGCTGAACAAGAATAGTTCCAAGTGTAATATAAAATGATCAAAGCAAAGCTGTTTTTAATGGACTTCTATTTAAAAAAAAAAAAAAGGTATACAGTATTCAGCATTCTGGAGTAATGTTGTTGTTAGGTGCCTTCAAGTTGGCTCCAACTCATAGTAACCCCATGTACAACAGAACGAAACATTGCCTGGTCCTGCCCCATCCTCACAATCCTTGCTATGCTCAAGCCAATCATTACAGCCACTGTGTCAGTCCATCTCTTTGTGGATCTTCCCTTTCGCTGACCCTCTACTTTACTAAACATGATACCCTTTTTTCAGGGACTGGTTTCTTCTGACAATACGACCAAAGTACATGAGAAGAAATCTGGTCATTCTCGTTTCTAAGGAGCATTCCAGTAGCACTTGTTCAAGGTCAGATTTATGTGTTCTTCTGGCCATCCACGGTATTTTCTATATTCTTTGCCAACACCACAATGAAAAGGCATCAACTCTTTTTTGGTCTTCCTTATTTGTTGTGCAGCTTTCATATGTATATGAGGCTACTGAAAATACCACTGGCTTGGGAGCTCTGGTGGCCTAGTGCCTAAGGCATTTGACTGCTAACCAGAAGGCTAGCAGTTCAAACTCACCAGCCATTCCTCTGAAGGAAGTTTGGGCAATCTATTTCCGTAGTGACGCTGCCTCAGAAATCCAAGCAGGGGTTGCTATGAGTCAGATCTGACTCAGTGGCAGTGAGTTTGTATGTTTTTTTTTTTGTTGTTGTTGTTTTGTTTTTTGGTTTAGATTTAGTCTTCAAAGTGACATATTTGCTCCTTAACACTTTAAAGAGATCTTTTGCAGCAGATTTGCCCAGTGCAATACGTCATCTGACTTCTTGACTGCTGCTGCTATGAGTGTTGAATGTGGATCCAAGTGAAACGAAATTCTGACAACTTCAATCTTTTCTCCATTTATAATAATGCTGCTTATTGGTCCAGTTGTGGGTAATTTTGTTTTCTTTACGCTGAGGTGTAATCCATACTGAAGACTGTAGTCTTTGATCTTCATCAGTAAGTGCTTCAGCATCTTCACTTCCAGCCAGCAAGGCTGTGCCATCTGCATGTCACAGGTCAATGAGTCTTACTCCAATTCTGACTCCATGCTTTTCTTCATATGGTCCAGCTTCTTGGATCATTTGCTCAGCATACAGATTGAATAAATATGGTGAGAGGATACTACCCTGATGCAAATCCTTCCTGATTTTAAATCATCAGCATCCCCTTGTTCTGTTCAAAGGACAGCCTCCTGGTCTACAGACAGTTTTCTCATGAGCACAGTTAAGTGCTCTGGCATTCCCATTCTTCTCATCATCATCCATAATTTGTGTTATGATCCACACAGCTGAATGCCTTTGCATAGTCAATAAAATACAGGTAAGTAAACATCTTTCTGAAATTCTTTGCTTTTCAGCCAAGCTCCATCTGACATCAGCAATGATATCCTTTATTTCATGTACTCTTCTGAATTCAGCTTGAATTTCTGAAGTTCCCTGTCAACATACTGCTGCAATTCCTTTTAAATTATCTTCAGCAAAATTTTACTTAAGTGTGATATTAATGATATTGTTCAATAATTTCCACATTCTGTTGGATCACCTTTCTTTGGAATGGGCAAAATATCAATCTCTTCTAGTCGGTTGGCCAGCCAGCTGTCTTCCAAATTTCTTGGCATAATTGATAAGTGCCTCCAGCACTGCATCCATTTTTTAAACATTTTGATAGGTATTCCATCAATTCCTGGAGCCTTGTTTTGTGCCAATTCCTTCTGTACAGCTTGGACATATCCTTCAATATCACTGGTTCTTGACTATATGCTACCTCTTGAAATAACTGAACATTAACCAATTCTTTTTGAACAGTGACTCTCTGTATTCTTTCCATCTTCTTTTGATGTTTCCTGTATCGTTCAATATTTTGGCAACAGAATCCTTCAATACTGCAACTCAAGGTGTGGATTTTTTTCTTCAGTTTTTTCAGCTTGAGAAATGCCAAGTGTGTTTTGGTTTTCTAATTCCAGGCCTTTGCACATTCATTATAATAGTTTACTTTGTCTTCTTGAGCTGCCCTTTGAAATCTTCTGTTCAGCTCTTTTATTTCAACATTTGTTCCATTTGCTTTAGCTACTCTCCATTCAAGAGCAAGTTTCGGAGTCTCTCCTGACATCCATTTTAGGCTTTTCTTCCTTTCCTATCTTCTTAATGACCTTTTGCTTTCTTCATGTATGATGTTCTTGATGTCATCCCACAACTCGTCTAGTCTTTCGGTTATTGGTTCAATGCATCAAATCTGTTTTTCAGATGGCCTCTAAATTCAGGTGGGATATAATCAAGGTCATATTTTGGCTCTTGTGGGCTTGTTTTCATTTTCTTCAGCTTCAACTTCAACTTGCATATGAGCAGTTGATGGTCTGTTTTCACAGTCAGCTCCTGGCCTTTTTTTAACTGATGATATTGAGCTTCTCCATTGCATCTTTCCACAGATGTAGTCAACTGGATTCCTATTAATTCCATCTGGCAAGGTCCACATGTTTAGTCAGAGTTTATGTTGTTGAAAAAAATGTATTTGCAATGAGTAAGTCGTTAGTCTTACAAAATTCTATCATGAGATTTCTGGCATCATTTCTATCACCAAGGCCATATTTTCCAGCTACTAATACTTCTTTGTTCCCAACTTTTGCATTCCAATCACCAGTAATTATCAATACTTTGATTTTGACTGCATGTTTAGTCAATTTCAGACTGCAAGAGCTGGTAAAAATCTTCAGTTTCTTCATCTTTGGCTTGAGTGGTTGGTGTGTAAATGCAAATAACAGTAGTATTAACTTGTCTTCCTTGTAGGCATATGGATATTATCCATATGGGGTAATGGGTATCTGTAATACAGTAAATTACTTAGTATGACCCTTCTAGCCATGGTCTTTGTGACTCAGACAAGATGACTGGGTGGGGCTATGCAAATGTGAGGTGTTTGTGGCCCACCAAGGAGATCAGATAGCTTGCTAATAGTGTAAATAAGGTACATGACACTTTGTGGGGGTAAACCAAAAAACAAAACTCACTGCCATCAAGTCAGCTCCAACTCATAGCGATCCCTCCTTGGATTTCCGAGGCAGTATCACTACGGAAGTAGATTGCCCAATCTTCCCTCTGAAGAGTGGCTGGTGGGTTTGAACTGCCAGCCTTCTGGTTAGCAGTCAAATGCCTTAGGCACTAGGCCACCAGAGCTCCCCCTTGTGGGGGAAGGACCCTTCAAATAAGGTATATGGAACCATAATGTGGGGATTGGTCAATTTTGCCATCAGTTAGGCTTGAAATAAGCCATCTCAGAGATGGAAAGATCCAACAAGAAAGAACCAGGAGTGGTTCCAAGGTCCCTGCGCTCAGATGGGAGAGAGACAGCAGCAGAACCAAGAGACTGGCTTGAGATGGAATGGCAGGCTACCCAGGACACAGAGTGAGGAAGCTGAGTGCCTTCAGGCAGGAGACTTGCTGGTGGAGTGGGGTGCCTCTTGGGTGCCTACTGGCAAAGCTAAAAGAGCTTTGTAACACTGGCCCGAGCAGAGCAAAAGCCAAGGCCGAGGCCAGAGAAAAGCATGTCTGCAGCAAGGCTGAGAAGCAGCTGTCCTGACTGAAGAACTGTATTAGGACTTATTTCTGATCCTGAATTATAACCTGTTACTTCCCGAATAAATGTTGTAATTGTGAGTATTGTCTGTGAGTTCCAAGCCGTCAGTGCAATAAATTAATCGAACTCATCAGAGAAGAAGGGAGTGCCAGGAGAAGGATGGTTGGCATCAGAACTGGTAAAAAGTTGGGAGAGTGGCAGCACATCTGACTTCCACCTCAAAGGAACAGGCCCTGGGCTGTTGTTGCTGATGCTCTCTCCCCCTTGTGAGGTTAGAAGAGGTCAGAGGACGTTGCCTCCACAGCCTTTTTGCAGTAACTTAAAAAAACACAGTGAACACAAAAGTAAATGTACAATGAACGGCTACAGGCTGGGAGAGGCAACCAATCAAGGACCAAATTAAATGAGTCTTCAGTTACCTTCCAACGCCAAGATCTTACAGCAAGACTGGCTGTGACCAGGCTATATGTGGCTCTTGCACATTTTTTCAAGAATGCACAAATGTTCCATACAGAATAACTCCCTTAAGTTATCCCCATGCTTCTGCCCACAATCCCAAATCAATAATGTTATACTCCACAGCTATATATGAATTAGCATCTTCTCAAAGCACTTTCATGGATATTATTTCCTATTATCTTCACAATTGCCCTGTGAGGTATGAGGAACAAGGTATTATCTTCGTTTAACTGATTAAGCACAAGTAGGCCAGTCAAGGGGCTGGCCTGGGACCATACAGCTGGTGGTAGCAGTGCTGGGCCCGGAGGCTGCACCTTGGGACTCCCAGACCTTCAGACCCACCAATCTCACCTCAGCCTATGTTTTGAGTTTGGCATTTTTGTGCAACATGGTAAAATGAAGGAGAGAATGTCTCAGGTTGAATATTTTAACTATAACTACATTAAAAGACATTTTATAATTGAGAAGGTTTTGCTCTACAACCTAGGGCACAGCTGAGTGAATCAGAAAACTTCCAAAGACATATTTGAAAACTGATTTTCTCAGAGGCTATATGGTTTTCATGTCTGGGAAAAGGTACCATACGCAGTCCCTGGGATATGAACATTCAACTTATGGGCAACTCCTGCTTGCCCTTTAAAGCAGGGCTTCAAACCAGTTCTGTCATGGCCAGTGAAGCAAAACAGGAAGACACCAGAATTTGTACAATTTGGGTGATTCGTCATGGCAACCAGAATGGGAAAAATTACAAGTCAAACTGTGGAATGGGAGACTCAGAAGAGGTGCAGTGAGCCCTTTCAGGAGCCTGATACATGAGATTAGATTACTGGCAGGACTGTGGAAAGCCACACACATTCAAAGCAGCACTATTGGTTACCATCTTTGAGAGAGGCTACATCTTTGAGCAGGGCACTGCCATCTTTGAAGGCCTACTTTCATGTTATGTAAATTTGCCCTCTCTTTGAAACAATCAAACCAACTCCTTCTGGCAACAAATTCTTCATCACAATCACCTTCACTTCTACATGTGTGTTTGCTTGCACTAAGGTAAGACTAAATAGGAACAGTATGCACCTGATCAACTGACCTATAAATTCTTAAAGATATAGTTAGGAATGGATCTTGTCCTAATCCAGGGACTGCTTGTACTCTAATTCAGCTACTTTTCTCTAGGCCCCTTATGGAGCCCCAGGTAACTTGCTGGCCAAACACAGTGTGGATTACTGATCCCTTCTCATACCCTCAACCTGTAAAATTCTTTTCCTTGACAGGGGAGTGCTGCCTGTTGATGAATAGAGTCCTACATTAAGATGCCTACAGTGGTCAGTGCTGGTCTGTCAGTAGACCAGGTTGGCCTCAGTCAACGCATTTGCTATTCCTTCTGCATTTGGAAAAAAGACTTCTTCCAGTCGAGTGGCTTCCTATGATATGATACGGTTAGAGGAGTAGAGGAGTAGTCTACCAGCCTGTCTCTTCCCTCTCCACAAACACAATCCCAATCCAAATTAGAAAATGGATCCATTCAGAAGGAATTATTTGCCAAAAGAGTGTTCAGAAACATAAATTCTTTAAGTAGTTCCCAGTGGTATCGATGTGTTTCTTAGCTCACCAGCTCCTACCTTAAGTAAGTGGGAGGTAGAAGCTTTGCTACTTAGAGATCAATCATGAATAAAGTATCTCATAAATGCTTAACTAAAACAATGAGAAATTACTATTGGAATTACTAAATTTCAGGTTCATACATAACTCAGAAATACATAATTGGGTAAAGGAGATGCATGGTCAGGAAAAGCTAAAAATGCATGATTCTATTAAAAAAAAAAAAAAAAGACTTTTGTATCTATTTCTTGCCTTCCAGAACTGAAGAGCAGCAAAAACACATGGCTAGCAGCAGCCTGCTGTTAAGAAGGAACACGCGGCCCACCTTTGTCCTCCGAGATGACCTGCACGAGCTCATACTCCTCGGCCGGGTCTGAGTCCAGATTGTGCTTCAGCATTGCTCTCTGAATCACGGCGGGGGTTTTATCCTGGCTCGTCAACTGGAAAGACAAATGGAAGGGTTTGTGAAGTGTCTGATTTCATGTCTCCTGGAAAGTCCTCCTGAACCTGTTCTTCTTGCCATCTTGTGCTGTGCAAGCCTTTCAGGGTAGGCAGGGCCCATGGGATGAGAATGGGGCCAAGAGCCTGCACTCCTGAGTTCTAGCCCTGGCTCTTCCCTCAGTAGCTAAACTTCATCTCTTAGCATCAAGGTGTCCTCCCTATTAAAATGCAGAGGACACTTTTGCCTCGCCAATCTCCCCTATACTGATCGAAGCTCAATGAGAGAATATAGATGAGGGTATTGTGGAAACTGGGAAACATTATCACTCCTGGGCTGAAATTATCCTCGCATGTTCACAGCTGCTGTTATTAGAACTGGTCACAACCTATGGGACCGAAATTGCCACAGTTCTGCTCACTGACCATTCCAAAAAGCACAATCACCTAGCAATCCCACACCTACGTGATAACCAAGGAAGATAAAAACATATAGCTACAAAAGGACTTGTACACAAAGATTCACAGCAGACTAATTCATGATAGTGAAAAATTGGAACCAAGTGGAATCTGCATCAACAGGAGGGCAAGAGAAGGGAGAAATCAGAGTATTGGCACAATAGATTTGTTACTTAGCAATTAAAAGAAACTTACAACTGATCTCAAATATATCATGCCAAGCTACAGAAACCAGACTCAAAGAATTACATATGCAGGAGTTTATTCTTTACAAGAGCAGGCAGAATTAATCTATGGCATTTGAAAATTTATCTCTGGGTTAAGGATAGATTGATTGGGAAGGGACACAGGGAACTTTCTGAAGGGATGGGAATGCTCTTTATCTAGATCTGTGTGCTGGTACACAGATGCACGTAGTTATTAAAATCCAAATGCTTAGGATCTGTGTATTTAATTGTATGCAAATTAGTTTAATAAAAATCAGCTTCTAAGTGTTAAAAATACATAAGTCTAAAGAAAGTTTTAAAGTCCTCCACATCCCTAATTCTGACGTTCTCCCTCTCATCTCTGCCCACCAGCCAAACTATCTGCAGGATGTTCAATATAACATGAAAACAGGGCTGACTTAGGTACCACCTGTTGAATATTTTTTTTAATTTGAAAGGAAGCAAATGAAAACACCGATTATTCTTACTTAAAAATAGAAGTTCTTGTCTCTAGAAGGTAAGAGGACTCCAAAGAGAAAACTTAAAAAAAAAAAGAAAAAGTCTTATTTTTGTCAATGGGAGCCTGTGGATGTCCTGCCTAGAAGCATCCCTCTGGCCTTGGACCACAGCTGGCATCTGTGATTCAGTAAACAACATGCATTACAATGGGCTGCTTGTAACCAACAAAGACCCTGCTCATTTGTCTATTACCAAAACATCTGGCATATCCATTTACAAGGGAAAAACAGGTGTACACAAAACTCTTAAGGAAAAAAATTAATTCCTCTAAAGGAAATACTCCCACGGCTGGCTCAAGTTAGACTTGTAGTCTAAAGTTAAAAGAGAAAAAAAACATCACTTGGACACAATGTGAGGTTAAATTGGGTTTTAAGTCGTCTAATTTAAACTTCCTATTTAAGGACAAAGCCAGGCTATGCCTATTTCCTTTATCTTGAACTTTCACAGATGTGTCCAAATGAGGATGGGATAGCCAAGGACTTTCCTTAGTTATTTATTACTATGTACCAAGAAAGCTGTTGTTGTTAGGTGCCGTTGAGTCATCTCTGACTCACAGTGACCCATGCCGAAACACTGCATGGTCCTGTGCCAGCCCCACAATCTTTGCTATACCTAAGCCCATCACTGCAGTCACTGTGTCAATCCATGTCATTGAGGGCCTTCTCCTTTTTTTTGTCCCTCCACTTTGCCAACCATGATATCCTTCTCCAGGGAATGGTCTCCAGGAAAAGTAGGTGAGATGAAGTCTGGCCATTCTCGCTTCCAAGGAGCATTCTGGCTGCACTTCTTCCAGGACAGATTTGTTAGTTCTCTTTTAGCAGTCCCTGGTACTTTCAGCATTTTTCACCAACACCACAACTCAAAGGCATTGACTCTTCTTCGGTCTTCCTTTTTCATTGTCCAGCTCTCACATGCATATGAGGTGATTGAAAATACCATAGCTTGTGTCAGGCACACCTTAGTCCTCAAGGAGACATCTTTGCTCTTCAGCACTTGAAAGAGGTCTTTTGCAGCAGATTTGCCCAATTCTATACGAGACATCTGATATTCTGACTGCTGGTTCCATTGGTGTTGATTGTAGAACCAAGTAATATGAACTCTTTGACAACTTCAATCTTTTCTCCATTTATCATGATGCTGCTTATTGGTCCCATTGTGAGACTTTTTGTTTTCTTTATTTTGAGGTATAATCCATACTGCAGACTGTAGTCCTCAATCTTCATCAGTGTTTCAAGTCATCCTCATTTTCAGCAAGCAAAGTTGTGTCATCTGCATAACGCAGGTTGTTAATGAGTCTTCCTCCAATTCTGATGCCACATTCTTCTTCATATAGTCCAGCTTCTCGGATTATTTGTTCAGCATACAGATTGAATAAGTAGGGTGAAAGGATACAACCCTGATGCATTCCCTTCTTGATTTTAAACCATGCAGTGTCCCCTTGTTCTGTTCAAATGACAGCCTCACGGTCTATGTACAAGTTCCTCATGAGCATAATTAAGTGTTCTGGAATTCCCATTCTTCTCAATGTTATCCATAATTTATTATGATCCATACAATTGAATGCCTTTGCATAGTCACTAAAACACAAGTAAACATATTTCTGGTATTCTTTGCTTTCAGCCAAGATTCATCTGACATTAGCAATGATATCCCTCATTCCATGTCTTCTTCTGAATCCAGCTTGCATTTCTGGAAGTTCCCTGTCAATATACTGCTGTAACCGTTTTTGAATTATCTTCAGTAAGATTTTACTTGCGTGAGATATTAACGATATTGTTAGATAATTTCCACATTCTGTGGGATCATCTTTCTTTAGAATGGGTACAAATATGGATCTTTTCCAGTCAGTTGGCCAGGGAGTTGTCTTCCAAATCTCTTGGCATAGCCAAGTGCTGCATCCTTTTGTTGAAACATCTCAATGGGTATCCTGTCAATTCCTGGAGCCTTGTTTTTCACCATTTCCCTCAGTGCAGCTTTGACTTCTTCCTTCAATACCATTGGTTCTTAAACATATGCCACCTCCTGAAATAGATGAACATCCACCAGTTCTTTTTGGTACAGTGACTCTGTGTATTCCTTTCATCTTCTTTTGATGTTTCCTGCATCATTCAATATATTGCTCATAGAATCTTTCAATATTGGAACTTGAGGCTTAAATTTCCTCTTCAGTTCTTTCAGCTTGAGAAATGTCAAGCATATTCTTCCCTTTTGGCTTTCTAATTCCAGGTCTTTGCACATTTCATTATAATAATTGACTTTGTCTTCTCAAGCTGCTCTTTGAAATTTTCTGTTTAGCTCTTTTATCTTGCCATTTATTCCATTTGCTTTAGCTACTCTCCATTCAAGGGCAAGATTCAGAGTCTCTTATGACATCCATTTTGGTCATTCCTTCCTTTCCTTTTTAATGGTCTTTTGCTTTCTTCATGGATGATGTTCTTGATGTCTTCCCACAATTCCTCTTGTTTTCAGTCATCGGTTTCAATGCATCAAATCTATTCTTTAAATGGTCTCTAAGTTCAAGAGGGATATAATCAAGGTCATATTTTGGCTCTCATGGACCTGTTTTAATTGTCTTCAACTTCAACTTGCAAATGAGCAGTAGATGGTCTGTTCCACAGTCAGCTCCTGGCCTTGTTTTGGCTGAAGATACTGAGTTTCTCCATCGCCTCTTGCCACATATGTAGTAGTCTGATTCCTGTGTACTCCATCTGGCAAAGTCCACATGTATAGCCACCATTTGTGTTGTTCAAAAAAGGTATTTGCAATGAATAAGTTGTTGGTCTAGCAAAATTCTATCATGAGATCTCCAGCATTATTTCTATCACCAAGGCCAAATTTTCCAACTACTGGTGATCCTTCTTTGCTTTCAACTTTTGCATTCTAGTCACCAGTGATAATCAGCACATCTTGATTGCATGTTTGGTCAATTTCAGACTGCAGAAGTTGATAAAAATCTTCAATTTCCTCATCTTTGGCTTTGGTGGTAGGTATATAAATTTGAATAACAGGGCTATTAACTGGCTTTCCTTGTAGGTGCATGGATATTATCCTATCACGCACAGCACTGTACTTCAGGATAGATCTTGAAACATTCTTTCTGATGATGAATGCCACGCCATTCCTCTTCAATTTGTCAATCTTGTCATAGTAGAGCATATGGTTATCTGGTTCAAAATGGCCAAAACTGGTCCATTTCAGCTCATCAATGCCTAGGATATTGATCTTTATGCATTCCATTCCTTTTTGACAACTTCCAATTTTCCTAGATTCATACTTCATATATTCCATGTTCTGATTATCAATGGATGTTTGTAGCTGTTTCTTCTCATATTGAGTCATGCCACTTCAGCAAATGGCTCTACTTTATCCATATGATTAAGGTAGGCTCTACTCTGATGAGGCAGCTCATATTTTGACCTGAGGGGCTCATCTTCCGGCACCGTATTGGAAAATGTTTCAGGGCTATTCATAAAATTTTCCAATAATATATCAGATAGTGCTTCACTACTATTCATAAGTAAAGTTACTGACCACAATTCTTATCAAGGGTTCAGTCACAGAGCCTTGTGCTGATATATGGAACCAGCACTGTCCATCAGAAATAAGTGCATCACAGACATAATTTTAAATTTCTAGTAGCTATGTTTGGGAGCTCTGGTATGCTAGTGTGTAAAAGGCATTTGACTGCTAACCAGAAGGCTGGCGGTTCAAACCCACCATCCACTCCTCAGAAGCAAGATTGGGTGATCTATCTCCGTAGTGATACTGCATCAGAAACTCAAGAAGGGGTCAGTCACTATGAGTCAGATCTGACTCGA